GCTGCCTCTGCTCAGTGCGGACTTGACACCAGAGTAGCCACGTCCTTAGTTGCTTGGTGACCGGGCAGTGCCATGCGCGGCACCGTGTTTCTTGGCATGTTGAAGAGACTCCCACAAATGCCATTTCGTTGTTACTGGGGGCAGGGTCCTAGGGCCTGGGATCCGGGTTTTGTTGAACCTTGTGGATTTCACCACCCAAGGGGAGCCCTTCCTCATGTCATCATGTGCTTGCGGATGTTCTGGAACTGAAGCATGAATGAGATGGGTTGTGTTTCCCGTGGCCAGCCCCCCTGCACCCCGCTCAGCTCCCCTGAAACCTGGGGCCCGGGCCTCAGCACAGCCCCAGCGTGAGCGGCCGTGAGCGTGCTGGCAAAGAGCCCTGTCTTGGCAAGATTGAGGATTGTGCCTGTACCTCACTTTTTTCTTATTAAAAATTCTGTCAACTTTTGAAAAATGTTGCCATACAAAAGTATATGAAATGTTTATGTTTAACTAAAATAATAAATCTAGGTGTATCCGAGTCAGTGTCTCCGAGGACCCCTGCTTGCCCTTCCTCCCATCCAGACAGAACCATCGTCCTGGACATTTTTTTACTTGTTGCCTTTTCTTTATAGTTTTACCATCTGTTGCTGTGAGCAGCCACCTCAAAACTTCGTGACAACCCACCGGCAGTTTATTCTCCCAATTTTGTGCGTTGACTGGGCAGTTTCTTTTGTTCCACGGGGTGTTGGGGTCATTCATGTGACAGCATTCAGCTAGTAGCTGGGCTGGAAGGTCCAGGAAGGCGTCTCGCATCCCACTGTCTGCTAGGGCCTCTGAGTTCATCACGTGGCCTGTGCCCATGGCGTCTCCTCCGGGGCTCCTCCCTGTGCCCTCTCTCTCCGACAGGAGACCCTGGGCATCCCTACGGTGGGGTGGCTGGGTTGCGGGAGAGCCACGTGGAATCTGCAGCCCTCTTAAGGGCCAGGCCTAGAATGGGCGCCGAGTCCCTGCCTCTCGTCGGTCAGAGCCACCCAGATCCAGCTGGAATCTCCTAGCAGGTGTGGTGGGATGGCGGGACTTGTTGGCGGCCATCCGTGTCCACGTTGGTTACTTGTGCCTGTTTTGGAATCATACTGCAGGGCTTCTCCAGGTCCCTGGCTTTTCCATTCCCAAACGAGTTCCTTGTGAGGCAGGCCAGGGCTGTGTGTCCGGCCGGCTGGGTGGCCCTCAGCAGAGAGTCCCAGCTCTGACGCCAGACATCTGCCCCGTTCATCAGACCACGGAAGAGGTCACCGGACAGGAGTGAGGAGTGCAGTGAGGAGTTTCTGGAAGGTCGGGCCATTTCTTGAGCGGACAAGTCATGTGCCAGTTGGTGGCTTCATTTTCTGCATCTAACCTGAGGGCTTTGGGCTTGGTGGGCTCTGTGGTCTTGTTCTGTTTGCATTTTCTGTAGTTCTAAGCTTTTAGGGTCTTACTTAGAGTAGCTTTAAGGCCCACATTTATCGCCCTTAAAGCAAGACGAGGTAAGGGACCCCCCCACACTTCTGCTCGAGTGAAGGGACTGCATAGCGGGGCTGGGGCTGGGGGAGCCGCCCTTGATCACTGACATGAGGCGGCAGGGCTGTTGATCTTACTACTGCTTCAAGTCTCCTCGGACGAGGCGACCCCTGGGTGCATGCACTGACTGGGGTGGGCAGCTCCCCGCGCCCGTGGGGCCCACACATCCAGCTGTGTGGCCCAGGCAGGTGCCCTCACCTCTTCCCAGGCCCCTCTGAGCTTGGCCAGATCGCGGTGGGTTCGTTTCACTGTGGAGCGTAGAGGGAGACAGGAGACAGTGGGAGGATTGCCGTGATCTTCTAGAGCGTTTCACGTAGCTCTGGGGGTGGGGCACTGCCGGGTTCTAGCGCGGCCCCTCTGAGGGGTGGACCACACGCCAGCTGGCCCCTCACCTGCTCACCACCTCGCCTTAGGGAGAGAGGGGCTGCTGGAGCTTTCTAGAGGAGGGCCAGCTGGCAGAGGTGAGTGCTGGGGGCAGCTGGGGGCCTCTGAGCTCCATCTGCTAGTGGGGGGGTTATAACGTCCCCAGCGTTGCTGACAGCCTGTGTGGGGGACCCCATGAGCACTCGGGGAGCCCCCACGGCTGTACTGGCACTCCCAGGGGCTGATGGCAGGACTGCGCTCGCTGGAGCCTGTGTTTAAGGCTGCTCATCTGCGTGTGGCAGTGGCCTTTCCCTCCCTCCCTCCCTCCCTCCCTTTCCCGGTCTTCCCCTGCTTCCTCTTTCACCCTCTCTCCCGGTTTGTCGTTTCCTTTTCTTTCTTTGATTTTGTCAGAACAGATGCACCTTAGGAGTGTTTCTCTGTTGGAACAGCTTTGGAGGCAGCCTCGGGGGACCCTGCAGGCCTCCGTGTTCTGGCCCCCACACCCACGTCTGGGCGGCAGCTCATGTCGGAGGAGCGTGGTTAGCGTTGGGTGGAAAACAGTCCCTGTGGGCCCCCACTGCTCTCCTGGCGGGGGGGGCACGGGAGGTACCGGGCCACCAGCCACCCTCTCCTAGGACCTTTATCAACCCCGCCAAGGTCTCTGAAAAGAGCACCCCCCTCCGTGTCCAGCCCCAGGAGAGCCAGCTCCGTGCCCTTCCCGCAGCAGCTCGAGGGCTCGTGGCAGCCCCCTTGATCGGCCACCCTCGGAGCTGGCAGCCCCTTCCACCCTGGGGTCCCTCAGGTTTCTCTTCACTGCAAGTCAGGTCGCCTTCCGGCCGGAGGGTTCTGCCTTCAGCCGACTCCAGCCCAAGGGCCTGGACCAACTCTGTACCTTGCGGGGGAGGGTTGTTCAGCGGATGCTCCCTGATTGTTTCTGAACCTGGGAGACACTTCCTCCCCCTTCAGTTTTCCGGTCTGCTGCTGGTGAAGGTGAAGGAGCCGGGGTCGCTGCCAAGTGCCGAATGGGCTTATTCTGAAGCTGAGGGAGCATCTGACCCTCGTGGGCTCTGGTGGTTCTCCATTTGGAGAGGGGTTTCCGCACTTGGGAGGGGTTTCTGCACCTGGGCTTCCGAGGACATAGGGAGTGACTAGTGACGGGGACACACGCTCACGTGCCTCCCCCTGGCCCCAGCGAGAAGGCAGATCTGGGGGTGAGCTGGCCTGGCCTCTCCTTGCCCCCCGCCTCCGTCCTGTGTACCTCTTGCCCGGTGTGTACCGCCTTCGGATCCTAGGCCTGAGTGCCCTGGCCTGGGTGTTCAACCCATGGACTGGACACTGGTTCTTTTCCATGTTCTCCAGAAACGTGTCTATTTTATTTTACCAGCTTGGGCACAGAGCGGCCAGAATTCTCCTCGGATTCATTCCTTCAGGTCACAACAGGAACTTGCTTGTTCTAGGGACTGAAGACCAACAAGGACGCCTTCCCAGGTGTTGTGTGTCCGTAGGGGCCTCTGCTCGGGGGCCCCTGGTGCCTCTCTGCCGAGCTCTAGCTGGTGGCACCGTGACAGAGCAGAGACCCGAGAAGCCGTGGGAGCTTGTGTGTGGAGGCCAGGATCGGAGGATGGTCGTGGGGATGTGGGAGGGAGGGAAAGGCTGTTCCTGGGTCTCCAGCAACAGCTGCTCTGAACTCACAGCTCAGACAGAGGCTGGCACGTGGCACACAGCCTGTTGTGTCCGCCACGTTCCCCCTCCCTCCCTGGAGCCCTGCCTGCCTGCCCGGTGACCTCTCCCAGCTCAGCAGACACCTAGCCCTGGTTTTGCAAAGTTTCCAGACACCACAGGGTGGGTGGGCTTTGCTGGCCAAGTCCCTGCAGGTGGGGAGGCAGGCGTGGCTTCCCTCGCTGCTCATCACAGCCAGGCCACTGTACATGGTCAGGGCTCCCGCACAGTGACTCACCCCCAGGAGGCTGATGTCACAGAACGGCGGGAGCGCGTGAGGGGCTGCTGAAACCTGGGGGCTGGGAGCCCCGAAGTGTCATTCTCACTTGCCCAGAAAGAGCCTCAGATGCGGGACCAGGGCCTGACAGCCTGGCCCTGGGTTGGGGGGCGGGGGGAGGTCTGTGCAGTGTGACCCCAGGAGTGGGGGTGTTGACTTTTATTTTGAAACTGGGTCTTTCTTGAACTGAGGGCCTGCTATCTTCCCTATAAAATGCTGGTCTGAGATGCACTCTGGTGTGGTGCTGCTGGGGAGGAGGGAGCTGTTTTAGATACTTATTTAGTCATGGCTTGTGGTAGTTCATGATTATTCGGCACCAGGCCATGGAATTTTTCTGAGCATTTTCACTTGAGACAGTTGTGGGATTTCCAGGCATCAAGGGAGGCCTTTGCCAGAGAGGTTGAAGCCAGCCCCACAGCTCTTGGGGTCAGGACCAGAGTTCATTCTTCCTCCAGGGACAGCCTGGAGAGGTTTCTGGAGGCAGAGGACTCCCCAGCTTTATGCAGTTCCCTGAGCCTCTGAATCAGAGCGAGCGACGGGTCCCTGCCCCCAAGGGCAGGACTTTACCCGAGCCCTGTGGGTGCTGCGGGAGGGGGTCCGTTCCAGAAATGCCGGGAGATGGAACATCTGTCTTCCTAGACGCACGTCTCACCTGTGTGACAGAACGGGGAAAACAACGAAATAGGTTTTTGTAAAGCCAAATGTATCGAGTTGAAGGAGCTGGCCTTCTAAGATTATGTCGTGCTTTCTTTCTGTAAAAAATGTTAAACTGACCATGTCTTTGTCTTTTTTAATGCTCACCATCATCAGTGTTTTGTGTTTGTTTTTTGACTTTCTAATGTCATTACCTGGCAAGACACAAAGGTGGCTGTTTTCTTTTGGTCCCTCAGTGCTTTTGGTTTTTGCAACTTTGTTGGCCAGTTAAACCCAGGGACCTGGGAGCCGCTGGTCAGCCTTGGCTTGCAGAGGGAATCGGGAGTGATTTACCCTTGGTGGATTTACTTCTCCCGCGCGCTTCTCACCTGGGAGTTGGGGGGTTGACCGTTGGGCGGGCTGGCGTCTTCTCTGTCTGCTAACACGAGGGCCCCCCGGCTTTCCGCAGCCATGGATTTTCCCCAGCACAGCCGGCACGTCCTGGAGCAGCTGAACCAGCAGCGGCAGCTGGGACTGTTGTGTGACTGCACGTTTGTGGTGGACGGGGTTGACTTCAAAGCCCATAAGGCAGTTCTGGCGGCCTGCAGCGAGTACTTCAGGATGCTCTTCGTGGACCAGAAGGATGTGGTGCACCTGGACATCAGTAACGCGGCAGGTACCCCATTGGGTCCAGGGCCACGCTTGCGGAGGCTCGGAAGCTGTGGCCGGCTCTGTGCCACGCAAGGCCCTCCTGACGTTCCTGACACAGCCCCCGCCCTCCTGGGGGTGGCACCTTGGAGCTGAGGGGTGCGCCAGGCCTCCCACACGGGCCCCAGGCCACGAGTGTGTGGGCATCGAGTTCCTTCCACATTTGGGGGGGCCTGTTTTGACTGGGAGCTGGGTGGTAAGAAGAGAACTGACAGGAAGGGCCCGTGGCAAGCTCTGGGCCGGAGTGCATGCAGGACCGGCTCGGGAGGGGCGGAGAACAGCGGTGCTCTTCCCAGCCCCCGACCCTTTCCCGTGGCCCAGTCCGTCCTGAACCCCTACCCTCGTGCTAACCATGATGGGGATGGCCACGGTTGGGGCTCGGAGGGGTGTCGGGAAGACCTGGGGATTGAGAAGGAACTGGTCCTAGATTTGGCTCCTAACCCAGAATGGCGGACCTGCCATGAGAAGGTCAGGGCAAGGTGGTGGTCCCCCGGTTTACGGATACGGAAACTGAGACCCAGAGAGGTCAGGTGACTGGCCTGGAGGTCGGATGCGTTTTGGCAGAGCCCTCATGAAAGCCAGTGCTGACACCCTCTTAGAGTGTCCTGCGGTGGTGGGGTGTGGTGGCCAAGTGGTGGAGAGTATACCGGGGGCGGGGGGGGGAGTTCACACCACTGTCCTCGTGCAGAGTGGGCATTCACACCCCGTCCTCCGTGTCGAGTGAGCATTCACACCCCTGTCCTCCGTACAGGGCAGCCGTCACCCCCTCTGGCCTCTGTGGGGGTACTTCATTTCAGAGGCTGTGGTCTGGGCGCCAGTATGGGGGGGGTGCTGGTGGCCTGCCACTCTGCTTTTCACAGATCCCCGGGTCCTGCTGCCGAGTGGGGCAGCTGAGTCGGCGGCCGGTGCCAGGCCTTGAGGCAGGTCCGTGATGGCCTTCTGTGTCCTTGGCAGGCCTGGGGCAGGTGCTGGAGTTCATGTACACGGCCAAGCTGAGCCTGAGCTCCGAGAACGTGGACGATGTGCTGGCCGTGGCCAGCTTCCTGCAAATGCAGGACATCATCACGGCCTGCCATGCCCTCAAGTCACTGGCTGAGCCGGCCACCAGCCCCGGGGAGAATACGGTGGCCTCGGCCACGGAAGGTAAGAGTCTTGGTAGGCTGTTCCTGAGCAGGCAGCTTTGGATGGGGTGTTGCCTCTTACTCTCCCTTTCCTCTCTCTGGGCCTCAGTTTCCTTACCCGGCGTTGCCTGCACCGTGGGGTGCTAGTAAGAAGTCTCAGGAAGGCCTTCCGAGGGGCCCATCCGCCTACCCCTTCCCCACCTTTTACCCGCTTGCTTTGTGCTCTGCTGCCCCAGAGAGCTGGGGGCATGCCTGGCCCAGGCCTCTGCACACGGGGGTCGCTCCTTCGGCTGCCCTTCCCCTCTTGTGCCCTTCCTCCTGATGCCGGCTACGGGCCAGATTCTCATGGTACCCTTTGCAGAGAACCCCATTCCCTTCCGAAGCGCTGACTCTGAGCAGCGGCTTTGTTTTGCGTGTGGGGTGTGCTCCCCGACTGGTGTGGGCGCCCCCACGGAAGCGGCACCGGGACTGTTGATCCCGGGCCCAGGCGGCCGCCGGGCGTGTGCAATAGATGCCTGGGGAGACAGACTGGCAAGCCACTATGTAGATGTATCCCCAGGGAGGATCTGGAAGAGCTACCAAGTACTGGGCCACCTCACCCCTCGAGGTGATGGGCACGTGACGGGAAATGGCAGGTCTGTCCTGTTCCCTCTGCAGGAGGAGACAAGAGAGCCAAAGAGGAGAAGGTGGCTGCCTCCACGCTGGGTGAGCTGGACCCTGGCGGCAGCGGTCTGCCCACAGGCCCAGGCCGGGAGCCCAAAGAGGAGCGGGGCGGCCAGGCCGAGAGCACGGCCAGCGGTGAGTTACGGCACCGAGGACCCGTCTGGCCGTCCCAGCCCGTCCCGGCAGCCCGGGCCCCAGTGCAGCGAGCGCCTCCCTCGGGAGGCTCCTGGGGCCGGGAGGTGGGAGTGGGGGGCCCAGCAGCCACACCCCTTGAGCTCTGGTTACCCGGACTGACGCGTTGTTCGCTCTGGGGCGCCTGTTGCAGCCAGAGTAGAGGCCCAGGCAGCCTGCGTTTGGGGCCTCAGCCGCTCCCGGGGGCTGGTGCAGGAGAGCCTTCCGGCCCCGGACGGCAGGCCCTAACCCAGCCTCGCCTGTTCCCACACCACACCCAGGGGCCGAGCAGACGGAGAAGGCTGATGCCCCCCGGGAGCCACCCCCCGTGGAGCCCAAGCCCGACCCCACGAGCAGCATGGCCGCTGCGGAGGCCGAGGCCGCCTTGTCAGAGAGCTCCGAGCAAGGTACCCTGCCCCTCCCCTTGGGCCCAGCCAGCCGGCACTCACGCCCCCCAGCGTCCCTCCCGCACCCCTCCAGTGGATCCCCCCATGAGTCCGCTTTAGCTTTGGGCCCAAGGCATCTTTCCATTCTCGAAATCTGGCCTCTCTTTCTTGGGGACGCACCGGCCGTGCTTCTGCTGGCGTGGGAGTGTTGCTGGGCCAGCGCCGAGCGCCAGTAGGGAGCCCCCCACCCCACGCACCCACTGCGGAGCAGGTCCCGAGCCCCCGGGGGACACTGGCCCACGGGCCCCCTCCGAGCAGCGGACGGCTGGGGGGGCCCTCTCCCCGGCCGGCGCCTGGCAGGCTTGTCTGCGGCTGCGGGACCGAGCGGGGCCCTGCGGGGAGCCCATGCCCCGAGGGCAGCGGAGCCCAGACCTCCGCCTCGGCCTTCGCTGGCTCTGAGGTCGCGGCCTGCAGAGGCCCCTTGTCGCCCTCCCAAGCGCCTCAGTGCCTGCCCTTCTCGCGGCAGAAATGGAGGTGGAGCCGGCCAGGAAAGGAGAGGAGCGGGACGAGGAGGGCGCGGCGGAGGTCAAGGAAGAGGGGCCGCCGCTGGAGAAGGGGGAGGCCCCCGAGGAGAGCGAGGAGTCGGCCAGCACGGACTCCGGCCACGAGCTGGGCGCCGAGGCCCGGGGCCTGCGTTCAGGCACCTACGGCGACCGCACGGAGTCCAAGGCCTACGGCTCGGTCATCCACAAGTGCGAGGTGCAGCCCTCCCCGCGCCCCCGGC